TGGCTTTTTTCCATGGCACCGCTCTTATACCCTGACTGAACTTTATTTCGGTTTATATTAGTTTGTATAAGTATAATATTATCGAATGGTAAGTCTTGACATAATTGCAACTATCTACATTTGATTTTTATTTACGTGTGCGTTTTGTTAAACTTATAAAGATAGTGTGGATTTGAGATCATACTCTCCATTATCCCCCACTTCGCCAGTGACTCCGACATTCCAGTTGGAATGGCTAGCCTGCTGCTTCTTCTTTTGTTCCTCGCCATCAACTCACTCCTCCGTGTGCTCCTCTCTTTCGCTTCCCATTCGCAGAGGGGCTGGGAAGGCATTTGAAAAACGTTGCCGCATTTTTTGCGTGTGCCAGCAGCCAAGGCAGCAGAAAATAAAAAATAAGCAGCCTCTGCTGCAAAGGAATGAACTAATTGTTTTCAGTTTTTCATGTATTTCTGTATGTTTATCTGGCGTTTCTTCTGCTTTTCAGCCCTGTTAAATTGCTTTCGCCAACATTGCAACTGCCCTACCCATCATTATGGGAATGAACTAAGGTCACGTAAACAACAATCACTTTAAGAACTATTTCCATTATCCATCCATCACCGCCATTCGTTGGACTTCAAAGTCACTGATCCCAGAGCAGGAACAACAAAAGAAATGGCAGCAGCTTTCTGCATTTTGTTTGACATTATCAGCGTTAAGTCGTTTTCAATACCGACCTGATGGATTCCTCACGCCTCTGCACCCCTTGCCGTAATTACAATGCAAACAAACCGGAGCGGTCTGCCGTCCCACTCCCACAGCTGTGCTATCTCGCTCTAGGGGACGTAAGCCAGGTAGCTGAAATAGCAACAAAAACCTGGCGCTTGCCGTTTGCAGACTGTGTTCCGATAAGAACGCTTGCTAGGTTGCTTTTCTTATCAGAAACGTCCGGCGGATTAACTCTGTGGGTTCCTTATTTTTTTTTAACACATTTTTATGATTTTTCCAGCCGATAGAGAAGGGCTGATAGCCAGACAAACACATTAGTTGTGCTTTTTGTGCCTTCTATTTATCGGAAGAACAGAGAAGAAACGGGAATTTATAATGCTAGCTATTATGACAGTTGCGAGATAAACGCTAGATGACACGCAAGCCGCGACATAATTCCTTTTTGGATTTTGAAGCAGTCTCAGTATAAAACTACTATATATTAACTAGCCTAAGGTTGCATGTAAGTAAGCCAGCAAGTAAGTTTGTGGGTGCGGATTGAGGCTGTTAGTTAATTTCCTTAATCAAATTAATGAATATCGGTTAGATATTGATAGTGTGGTATCGGCTTGATATATGTACTTTGCCCCGCATAAGGTTAGGTCATGCGGCCTAAATATATACGGCTGATACGGCCTTTAGCCAGCGATAAGCCACAGGCAATTGTCATAAAAAATAAGTTTTACGGCATTCCAGTGGGCACCGCAGTGTCCCCGATATCAAAAGCCCCTTTTGAAACCCATTTTCACCTGGGATTGGTGGCTGAGCATTCTTAATGGGTTTTGATTTTTAAAATCAAACAATTTTATTGTCGCCATCGCCGGTGTCGCTTTTGTTGCTTTATAGCTGCCATCTATTTGGTTACGGCCTTGGTGAAGTTTTTTTGTTTTTTTTTGTTTTTCAGCAGAGAACTCTCGCTGGTCGGGTAATTCCTAGCTTAAATATTTACAATTACTTTACATAGAATGCGGTTTAGTTTTCCCGTGAAACATAGGATAAGAGGTGGGTTTCAGTGGGCTTTATGAGTGTGCAAAGTAGCAAAGAATGCGGCATACTTTTGGCTAAGTTGTTGTATGCTAATTTGAAATAATTTTAATTAACATTATGAAGTCAACGAAATTGAAGATATTGTTCCCGTTCGCAGCTGAGGTATTGCTGCCGCAGGTCGCAAGATGGTTATCTATGGAACCAACTCAGTGCGCACTCGGAGACGCACTTTCAATTAATTCACTTGTAATTATCGCTCGACAAGCACTTTGTTGGCACTTGATTGCAACGCCCACTCGCCAAACAGACGACCAGATACAGACGAACGAACAAACAAACAAACAAGCCGCCCAACTAACAAAAGATAAACTGACTAACAGAGGAGGAGTACACTCTCGATCTTGGACACGTACGGAAAAATTGAAACCACAACCGAACTTCCCGGTGTGTTCTCCATTTGACTTGCTTTATTTGCACCTAAATACCATTATTTCCCCCGTCGGATTCGGATTTCATTTAGGTGCGTATGTGTGTTTTTCCAACCGCCGACTGATAAGAATCAAAGGCTACCCCTTCCACTTCAGCTTTCCTTGACACCTTCTCAAGTCGGAACATTGAACAGGGATCTAGGACACATACTCGTTCTTCCCATTTCAAGTGCCGCAGTATGCATATGTAAACTTCCATATCCCAATTTGTTTCACCTTTGGCTTCCATTTCGTTTAATGCGATCTGCAGCACTTTGTTATTGAGTCCGAGCATTAATGTAAATACGCCCCTATATGTTCTACAGTGTGTAGCTTTTGATGCTTTTTATTGCCGCTTGGTGGGGCGGCCGTAGGAATCTCCTTTGATTTCTGTGTTTTTATGTGGCTTCCAGATGCTTTGATCAGTCTAACATCGCTCCTATTAAAATCGTTCGGTGTGTGGTGTGTTTGTAAATTCTTCAGATCCAGGATGGCTGCCTAATTGCCCCTTGAGTTTTGGCCGCGATTTGTTCACTGCCTTCCCTCTTCTGAACAACCAAACAGAAATCAAAGAAAACCGAGAAAACCATGAAAGCCATGAAAGCCATGAAAGCCATGAAAACCATGGAAGCCCACTCCCAGATCGGACAATGCCTTTTACTTTCCTCTTTTTCAGCGCCACGATGAAACAAAGTAGGCGGCAACTTGCACCACTAAGTCCCTAAAAAACACAAAAAAAAGTAGACCCAGGCCAGAGCCAGGCAAAGAGGAAATATTCAAAACCACCGCTGCAGCCAGATACAAATCAGTGGAAGGCGAATAGTCAGTGAGTAGCTTCTGTCGCCTGAAGAAGCATCTGGCCTGAACTCCACTTGAAAACAGATGAATTGATTGAATATGTTTTCGGAAACCTAAATATTGCCTCGAGATAGCGATTGGTCGGGAAAAAGCTCTGCTGCCTGCACTTTGCATCGCCATCGGAGCAACAGCAAAGGCGGCAGTAAGGCACCTCCGACATCGACATGTGCCTTCTTCCATCCAAAAGGGCATGGGCATGGAATGCCAGATACGCTCAGAGGAAACCGAAGTCCAGAGTAAAGGTGTTAATGGAGCTGACTGTGCACATAGATACAGCCGCTATCTGAGCTAAGCCCAAAAAGAGCCGAAGCCGAGCCGATGATAATGCGTTAGTCTACACGGCGAGAAAAGCGGTTATATTAACTAATCTGTCCATAATAGGTTTCTGTTCGAATAAGTTGCCCAGGCAATTAAGTCCCATTTTATTGTGGTAGTTCGAAAGTCGCCTTAAAGCGAGCTCAAAACCATCAAAAACAATTGGAAATGGAATATTTTTGCTAATCATTTCTTTCAGTGCTGGCGTACCGCACAGTTTCCCGCAGCGGCAGCTCTTTTTTCTTGTCCATTTGAAATGCCGGCACAATCGCACAGGTCTCCCCAGACCACTAGCATCTTTTGTGGCTGTTCTTCGGGATTTCCACTAAATGGCCTGCCCATTCTGCCGACTTTTCCTCTGTCTTTCCCCTCGGCGGCTTCCACGCACTTTGCTATGCGGCGATTTTCATGGGCCATTTTCACGGTTAATTACAATTACGAAGCGAGAGCGGATGACCTCAAATGCTTGGGTCGCAGCTCACTTGGACATGCAGTAGCAGAGAATACTTTCGGAATCACAAAAGGCTCTTCCTAAAAGCTTGTTCATTCTGGTTGATGGTTTATTGCACCACTTACTCAAAGACGACATTATTGAACGTCAATGAAGAGTCGCCCTTTGACTTGTTTTTAGTGATAATGGCTCGTTTGCGTTTGTTTCTTGCCTCTTTTCCACTATCGAACCTTCTCCTTGTTTTTGCCGCCTCGTCTTGTTCCCCAGAGCGTTGCTAATGGAAATGAAGCCCCGAAAGATACAGATACAGATACACATACAGACACAGATACAGATGCAGAAAATACGATCAGAGCAGCGGGGAGTACAGCGTACAATGACGGGAAACCACGGTTTCTATGCGAGTTTCGGATCTTTGGCTTGTGAATGCGATCTACATTTCAAAATGGCCTCATGCAGACCCCCAAAACCCGCAAAATGACTTCAATCTCCGGCGGCGAGCCTTCGAACATTTCTGTTTATTATTTACTTTATCTCCATGGCAGTGCGCACTTCCACCATCTCTACTGCGACAGTAAAACCGAAAAGCCACAAAACAGTGGAAGTGCGGGCTGTCGAGAGCATTGTGGCTGTCTTTGATGAGCTGCCGCCCTCCACAAGTCAGCTCCACAAGTCGGCTCCGCGCGCCCGTCACTCACAATTTCGAATGTTTGGCAAGAGTTTGGACTCGAAAGCAACATTTTACTTGCTGCCTGTTACCGTGCTCCTCATTTGCTGCGATTTCTGGCCTCACTCTTTTAGGGGCATTTAGATTGGGCCATAAGCATTGCTTGACTGCTGAAGTTGTTCTTGGATAGCACTTGCATCATCAAGCCAAACCCATATAGCTAATTAAAGTCGTACTCAAATATTTATGCTCCGCTTGAAAGTGCGGGATCTAAAAGTACTTTCATTGGATTCCGGCCGATGTTTCTAAGCAGGAGCTGGCCAACATTTTACCTGGCATGTTGGCCATTGCATGCTTTATTTTTAGCCGCTGTTTAAGCTTTTGTTTTCGCACGTAAGCGACGAGAGTCACATTTAGGGGCCATACCAAAGCCAGCCTATCAAGAACGTGGGATCGCGAGGGTTCGGGACGTGCCTGCCTTGCGGCTCACGGCCGTGGCTCCGCTTACCTGGAGCTCAGCCTCCAGCTGATTGGTGTGACCTGCCAGGTTGGGCAGTGCGGTCATGTTGTAGCCGAGGCCTTGGCAGGCGGACACGGCTATGGGCTGGCACTGCAATCCGTTTGGGCCTGCTCCGGAGGCCACCGGGCCATTCTGGCCATTCTGGCCGACACTGCTGGACGCGGTTGTCAGGTGCAGGAGCAGGATCAGGATCAGGGCGGCGTACATTTCGATGCCAAATACTTTCAGGAGGTCATGTTGGCCACTCCAGGCTCTCTGGCTTTCTGTTCAAACGTCACTCGCGAGCACGCCAAAAAAATAGTTTGTGTTGATATTGCTGTTTGGGTCTCAGTGGTTTACGTATTTCCCCGGTTCATAAAGACCCGCTCCGAAAACTGCGAGACGCGACCACCACTCTTCACTGTTTCCAACGAACTAACCAGCGACTCGACTTTCGGCGAACGATGTGCGCGGTGGTCGATAGGCGGAGCGGCATGCTTATCGATAGAACAGTGATGTATCGATAGGCATACATGGGCGGGCAGAAAGAGAAATACAGTTGGATATTTTTGAGCATTTAGCACGTTTTTGCCTAATGTCTTGAGGTTCTTTGTGTATCAAAGCTTCTCATTTTAAAGTGCTACCTGCGAGCTTCTAAACTTTGGGATCTAGCCCAACCGCAGCCATTTCTCCGAGTGTAAGGCGAAGAAACTCGATCGTACGTCGACCAACCGCATCAGCGACATCATACAACACTGAACGAGGGGTGGAGTGGGCGAGGTGGAGGGGCTGCTCGCAGAAGGCGGGGCTGGCAGGATGGGGGGGGGGGGGGGTTACGAGGGGGACGGTGGATGCAATTGAACACCGGGACCTCCACACGTTGCAAACGGCGGCGTCGGCGCTCTTTGATGTGTGCTTTGATTTCCGGCAGCCAGATAAGATTTTGCCCCTCCTGTGTGCTCCGCCTTTCGGTCCTCCTTGTGGCTTTTCCCGGGTGCCGCTTGGAAAATCGCAGATCGAACGTGCTGCTGCAAATATTGTTGTTTGCTGCGGATCCCTGATCTTGTGGGGCCAGATAGCGGTGCTATCGATGGCACTAGATCGGATAGCTAACCACCTGTTCGGACTCCTTCAAATTTGCTTTTTGCATTCTAATGATTAAGAAATTGTTAATGTGTGCACTTGAGTGGGACTTCTTCGGAACCCAAAACGAGTGACCGAATGACTCTTGAACACCTGAATACCTGAATAGATGGTCCTCTTCAGGACGTGGAGCTAGTATTCGAGGGCACACCACGCACAAGAACAACTGCTCTACAACCACTTAGTGCTCAGTGCCGTTCCGATCCCCGATCTTCAGATCTCTTAATTGTCAGCGCAGCTAATCCCCCATGTAAGTACCCCCGAATCGAGGGACAGATCGCTTTGTTTGTTTGTTTTCGTGCGGCTGGTGCTCGAAATCCGCCAGTTGTTTGAACCTGGATGCGCACGTTAGAGAATCATCAAAGAAATCGATCTCGGCACGGAACGGGAGTGGGAACGGACCGGAGCGGACCGGACTGGATGGCGTATAATAGCTAATGTAAGCACTTGCACTTGGCCTTCCCGCCGCGTTCAAAGGAGAGGCAGCATCTTTTGTTTACCCAGCACTCATTCCACATTCGACTCTATGTTTTTGTTTGCTGCTCAAGCGGGTTTCTGTAAGTGCCGAGCGGAGGAGATTGCTTGGTCCAGTGCAGTGATGGTGGTGGTGATGCGCTGCTCTTTGCGGGCGGGGAATCGCCCGGCGTGCATCCGGATATCGGAAGTCAACCGAAGTAGGTACAGAACTCATGGTTGTTAGAGTAAATATCACAAAGTTGCCTAGTTGGGCCGTCTTGTAAGATGTCCACATGAGTCACTCGCCCCCCAACTCCCAACTTCCAACTCCCACCAGTTACAGGCGTATCCGACAGATACGCGAATATGTGGCTCTCTTGCGGCTGCGCGAGCATTCCATTAACTAGTTTTCTGGTCGGCCGAGTTCAAAAGCGCTTATTAATCTGCGGTACTTGTGTTTAGTACTTTTAAATACGTTTTGAGTACTTTATTCAGTTTGCTTGATGTTTCGCCGCCGCTCCAAGTCACGATGTTTGCTCTGCTGCTCTGCTCGTCCCCCTTTCTGCTCCTCCCATGCTGATTGCCTCCGCTTTTGGCTTTCCTCTTGCGAATTGGACGCGCGTCAATATTTATTTTATTTATCTCCGTGGCCGCTCAGCTTGCGGATATTCGAGGGGGCAACGGGTGGCGAGACGCACACTGATTCGGGGGGAGCAGGGGGAGTTCAAAGGAAAAAGTGATGGGAAACGTTAGTAGGCTTACAATGAAAATAGTTGTTACCAAATCACTGCAGGACGAGTTTACTGAAGAAGCCAGTCCATGATTTTGTCAAGCAAATCGGAATACGAGTATATGTAGTAATAGATTTTTTTTCCCGTGGAGCAAAGCAGGAGAGGAGTGGGCCGCTGGCGCCCGCCTGCAATTCAATCCGCGCGACGACACTTCTCTTGGCCAGCTCTTTAGTTTTGCCGCATTTTACTTTGTTTTCGCTCTGCAGAAGCCATACGAATAATGCGATAATTACAATGCCAGGAGTCATTCGTCAGTCCGCCAGTCGACCACTCCGAGTGAATTACCGCGGCTCAGACTAAAGCAATCTAAAGTTACTCCCAGAACGAAGGGATTATCCGCTGTCTCCTGTTACGCCAGCCAAATAAATCTTCACTTACGGAGCGGAAAAAGTACACATGCACATATGTATGTACATACGTCCCACCTGGTGCCAAGCTCATTCAGCGCATTTGGCCTAGGCCCTAAGGCCATTAGGTCTCGTTGATATGCGCGAATCATTCAACAGGCCCATCGAGGGCGCTGTGAGCCCGAATCCAGCCATGGGAAACCAGTGCGCAGCCTGGCAACAAAGGGAATGGGTTTCAGCTCAGGTAGGGCGGAGCCCGGACGACAATGAGGCCCAGCCAGCTGATAATAAAGCCCTAAAACCAAATCGGAGATCTGAAATGCGAAGAGATGGCTCGCCAAAGTGACAAAGCCTCTGCGAGGGCGTACTCTGGACAGCGAGCTGGGGAATAATTTGCCACATCCTGGCGGAAGGAGGGAAAGGAGAGATGGAACCAGGCGCAGGCGGCGAAAGATGTGAGCCGCGCCGGGTGCTAATAAAGCTGCCCGCCAAGAAATGAGGAGCTGTGGAGTGGTGAGTGGGGAGGGGGAGCTCAATAGCAACTTCCCCTTCGATTTTCAGCCGGCCGTCTAGGTGCTAATTTAGCGACCTCACAGTGATACAAATCCGCAGGCGAACGAAGGGTTCCTCAGAATTTCCATTTCAGCCGAAACGAACTGCAGATAAGGGACTAAATGTCAAAATTATCTGCACACTCGTTCCCCATATTAACCCATGGCGTGCGCATTGTCCCTCAGCTGCCCAAGCCCAAAAAGCAATCCTTAAGATAGCGGAATTGTATTCCAAGGCCCGAAGTTAGGATAACGTTTGCTTTCTTAGCACACACATATTCGTTTTTCGGAAATAATACTTCGCATTGTATGCGGGGTTCCTCATGGGTTAAGCATCATGGGGATGGGGATGGGCATGGGCATGGCCATTGAAGATTGCAGAGCGAGCGAGGATGATCAGGCAGAAAGGCCGAAGACGAGAAGCGGAGCTCGTGGGACGGACAAAGTGCAAATATATGTTGTCGGACCACAAAGCCGGTCCCAAAGTCAAAAGCCGACGGAAGGCGGCCAGCACCACAGGGAAAACTGCTCAAGACAAAAATACGAAGATTGAAGAGGGAAGAGCGAAGAGCGAAGAGCCTTCCCTCGATATGCCAAAGTGCATCAGGCACTAAAATGCAGAAAATTGAAACAGGCTTTTAATGAAACGAAAGCGCCGCCAGAGATGAGATGGGCTTGGAGACCGGCTCGGATGAGCGAACGGCTATCTAGCTGGATACGTTAATCTGGCCCAGACGTCCACTCAGATGCAGGCAGCATGGGCAAGTGAGCGCTCCAGACAAAATAAGACGACCGAAGACACAAAGAGTCAATTAATTAGTAGATGGATTCACGATTGGCGCTGCATTTATTGACACTGCGCTGCAGTTGAAGGCGCAGTTGGGGTCACTGCGAGAAATATTCTTCCATTTTCTAGGCCCTTAAAATGCTCTTCCTACACTTGTCTTCAGTTAGGAGACACTGATGCGCCCTGCCGTTTCTCTCAGTGTCGGACCCTCTTTCACTTAAGATAAGAACGGCGACTGGGAATAGAAGCTGGGCGTTCATTAAGTGATAACAGAGCGACGGACGGGTCCGCCTGATAAGGCCTTCCGACCCGATGGGACAGGTAAGAAGGACTCCATCCACACCACCTCCATGAGTGAAGTGCGCACTGCGATCAGGACTCGGATCGAACCAAGCAGGAAAGCAAGGCAATCATTACGGGTCGGACACAGAAAACAGAAGCTGCAGGCAGAAGAATGACTCAAATGCACGCGATCCCCAGGGCGCCACACGGATGCAGATAACAGATGAATCGTTCACACAAAATGGGGAATTCATGATTACTGGAAATAGAAGAACAAGTCCTGGAAGTAACTATCCACTATCCCATGAAGATAGTGGAGATCGTGCGTAAGTGCAGGCTGATTACGGGGCGTGGCGGGGAAGCGGATCGGGATTGGAAAAGGGAGCGGATGAGGGGCAGCAGGGGATACGGCGGGCGCTGGAGGCAGCCCCAACCGGGAATCGGCTTCCTCCTCGGCAGCATGTTTATTACCACCGATTTGTAGGGGCCGTAGATCTTTAGTAGATCTGCACTGAGAACAATAGTGTCTAACTGCGCGTTCCAGGATTGTTTAGTAAATGGAAGCAAGCACGCTGAAGAACACATACACACATATGTATGTATGTAGTGGCCCAAGCTGGATCAGGATTCCAGCCGCAAATTAAGTGCACGTTCTGTGGCTCCTCCTCCTCTTCCTCCACCTCTAGTGTGCTCCTTCGCCTCCTCCCCCGTTCGCGTCGCCTTTTCATGATATATGGCCCCTGGGGCGGGCCAATTTCGAGGCACTTACAGCGTTCGGGGTGTTGGTAATTATAGGACTTTATGTCTGGAAGTTTTCTTTATGACGGCTTTTACTTTCAAGCTCATCTCGTGTACCGTTCGCGTTGCCGCAAGTCGGCCCGGTAGACATCTTGTTCTCACATTCCCAGCATCAGTTTTTGCATTCTCTGTATGCACTCTGTACGCTTGCCTGAATAGCAGCAACAAATTATCATATTTTAACGCAGAGTATTCCCTTTACGAAACTTAAGCTTAGCGCATTGGATTGGAACGCGGCTACGCGGCACCGAAGTCGCAAACCCAGGGCTGCATGCGCAGCGCCGATTACCCGGAATACAGCGGCGACGCGCTGCGGCCACACCTAGTCGTCTCTTCTTCTTGCCGCCGCTTCCGCTTTCTGTTCTTTTTCCTCGTGGTTTTCGACTGACAAGATGGCTCCAACCGTAAGTGCTCCGAAATGCGGAATTCGAGCCTGGCCACAGGCGCCTGGGTGCTGCAAGTTGTGCAATCTTGCGGTGGACGAGTCTGCGGACAGTGGACGGTGGCCAGGAGCGGAAAATTCCGTTAGGCGAATGAGTGTGTGATTTTTGTTCGTTTTTTTTTCGGTGCGCATCCAGGCCAAGACCAACAAGGGTGATACCAAGACCGCTGCTGCCAAGCCGGCGGAGAAGAAGGCCGCTCCCGCAGCCGCCGCCAAGGGCAAGGTGGAGAAGCCAAAGGCTGAGGCCGCCAAGCCCGCCGCCGCCGCGGCCAAGAACGTGAAGAAGGCGCCCGAGGCGGCCAAGGATGTGAAGGCAGCCGCTGCTGCCAAGCCCACGGCAGCCAAGCCCGCAGCTGCCAAGCCCGCTGCCGCTGCTAAGGATGCCGGAAAGAAGGCTCCCGCTGCCGCTGCTCCCAAGAAGGACACCAAGGCTGCCGCTGCTCCGGCTGCCGCCAAGGCTGCTCCGGCCAAGAAGGCTGCCTCCACGCCCGCTGCCGCTCCCCCAGCCAAGAAGGCTGCTCCCGCCAAGGCCGCAGCCGCAGCCCCGGCTGCTGCTGCTCCCGCTCCGGCTGCAGCTGCTCCTGCTGTCGCCAAGCCCGCGCCTAAGCCCAAGGCCAAGGCTGCCGCCCCAGCTCCCAGCAAGGTGGTCAAGAAGAACGTGCTGCGCGGCAAGGGACAGAAGAAGAAGAAGGTCTCGCTGCGCTTCACCATCGACTGCACCAACATTGCTGAGGATAGCATCATGGATGTGGCCGACTTCGTAAGTAGCTGGGGTACACAGATATCACAAATCTCACCGCTCAGTATCAAGCATTGGTTATGTTCTGTCGCTGCTTTCAAGATGTTATGGGAAGTATCGCCTCTTAATTGCCTAGTTGTCCGAAGCCACTTCGGATATTGTTCAGAATCTATGGTAAAAGTGGATCTCAACCAGTTTATAACGAAGGATAGTCTCCCAAAACATCTGAAAGCAATAAGCAGAATAACCAACCAAATCAGTATAGTCTTACCGCACCAAGCTTTCCATTGCCCTCCAAGTTAACTAGGGGCTCTGGATAAAAAGTTGTGGTTACAGTGAGGTCACTCCATTTGGCGATAAACTGCCAGCGGACTTTTCCCGTGCCGCAGGCGGTTAACAACTTCTGGAACAACTGTACACCAACTGTAGAACATAGTCATAGGGCATGTGTCCAATCCGAACCAAGTCGAGTCGAGTCGAATCCTTCGCTGCCTCATGCGGGCACACGTGTTCAATCGCAGCGCCTTCCAATCGCGCTAGTTGTCAAGGGGCTCTGGGCACTGCACAACGGGGTAGCCACTGACCGCCAGTGACCTGGCACTGGCCAGTGGTGCAACCGTCTGTGAACAGCGTCAAGCCGTGCTATGTGTACCGCCACGTGGTGGGCCCTGGGTTGAGTGCGACCACATCCGTGGCGCCTCAGGCCAAAATTCATAGTGCGCCCTGCTCACGGTGCTCGCTCTTTCGTGGCACTGCAGGTTTTCCCAACTAGTAGCAGTTAGCATCAGGTGCTTCTTTCATATGTCGTGTGATAAACCAACCAATTGTGAGTACCCGCTAGTGGGCAAACCGAGTGCGCTGAACGCGCCACTTAGCAGGGCGTAGAATCGTTTAAAGTGTCGCCTACGCCGCAGGATCAGGTAACTACAATCTTATGCTGCATTCACATAGGGGAGAGGAACCACTAGGAAAGGTGCATAGTCGTCCATGTATGTAACTGAGTCACTTGAATGGAAAAGCCATTGTTGCGTGTCGTTCGACTAGTACTGCACCCATTGGTTCCGAGACCCCTTCATTGCTCACCATCTATCACCTATATAAATCTGTTTTACAGGCCACGCCGATTTGCCGTCAGAGAGTGAGCTTTATGCGTCGCTCTGATGGCAGTGTACTCAGTGGCACAGCAAAAAATTGGTCACTCTTCTTTATTTGGGCTTTCTGTTCTACACAATCGACTCTTAGCCTTAACAAAGACAGAGACATTTCCGGCTTACAGCTTACCGCTAGCAAGCCCCAAAGATGCCCAATGATCCAGCCCCAGTCCAAGCAGAACTAACCGGGAATACCCTCTCTATTCCGCCCGCAGGAGAAGTACATCAAGGCCCGCCTTAAGGTCAACGGCAAGGTGAACAACCTGGGCAACAACGTCACCTTCGAGCGCTCCAAGCTAAAGCTCATCGTCAGCTCCGACGTGCACTTCTCCAAGGCCTACCTCAAGTACTTGACCAAGAAGTACCTGAAGAAGAACAGCCTGCGCGATTGGATCCGCGTGGTGGCCAACGAGAAGGACTCGTACGAGCTGCGCTACTTCAGAATCAGCTCCAACGACGACGAGGACGACGATGCCGAGTAAAGATGTAGCAGATCCATACAGCAGAATCACTTGGTTTACATTGGTTTTATTATATATCACGCGTCCCCAAAGCGGCGTGTTTTTATAAGCTAACAACGAGATGTGAACTCATGAGAAAAGAAAACTTCGGGCTAGCCCCAATAAAAGAATTGTGTGAACCTGAACCTTAACCCCGAGTAATTCTTATGGGTTGTACAAGCGTATCTGGGAAACCGGAAAGATGCGGATGCGGATCACTGAAAAAGCCTTGTCTTTGAAGGCATTCGGTGGTCGCCATGCGCGGTAAATGTAAAACCGCATATAGCCTGTAAATCCGATATCCCCGTCTCGCTCTTTTCCGCGATTGTTCGCCGCCCGAGGTGGCGAAAGTAATTGCGCTTCGAAAGAGATGGATATCATATTGCATGCATCATCCAGTTGTTTATAGTACGCGGTCATGCACTTGGTGAACGCTACTAGATACCAGACACTGGATGAACTGCGGTATTTGTTATCAACAAGATCAGTAGATTAAGAAGATTGTAACCAACCGAAGTGAAAGTCTTTAGACTTTTAACCAAACAGTACGGGTGCTCCCATGCAGTTCGCAGTCAGTTTGGTTACGAAAGCAGGGGACTAGAATAGTCCGGACAACTGCTGTTGCTCATCGTTATGCAAGCGGACCGACCATTAACTAGTCAAGTTCCCATTTAGTTCAGGCTGGGCGTGTGCATCGTGGGCGCCGACCAGAGAAAATACAAATAAAACATACGTGGCGGGTGCTGTGGGTGCGGCGAAAGCTTTTACTTTATTCAACAACTGAGGAGTGCAACAAATACGTTTGCTTACAACAATGCAAAAAGAAGCAACAATTACGCTAGCGAGTCTAGAAAAATATACACTTTTAGTGGGAACTTACATTCAGTTTGTCTTTCTTCAGAAGGCTTTGAGTCGGGTTTACACATAGGGGGTATGCATATGTATATGCCGAGCTATTCGAACGTTTGCTTTGTTTTCGAGCACGCTGGGATGGGTCCGGGCCCGGTTACGGGAGCCCATTCACATCGCAATCATCACAATTGAAGGCCAAATTGGGAAAGGGGGACTTTTGATGGGGAATTCTAAGCTGGGAGCCCAGCTTGTTTATCCACGAATACTGCAGTCGGCGATGGTACGGCATAATTCAACAAATTCAACAGTTTCGTCCAATTAGCGCCTGGAATTATCGATCTTGGCCAGCGCAAATACACCGTGCGCGCCAAGGCCACAACAGCTGGGGAGGAAAGTACAGTAGGTAGTAGGGTCGAGTAGTATTGGGGGGTGCACAGTGGAACGTTCCAGAAGCATGGTTTTTAGAAGCCAGCAAGCCACTTGGCCATCCCTCCGCTCATGAGCACGAGCAGGAGGCTCCGAATGGTCAATCCCTCCAAGGACCCAGCTCCGCCGGTGTTGGACGTAACGGATGCCTGGATTGGAGCAGCGACATCCTGTGTCTTTTGCACCTGCTGCGATCCTGGTTGATCAGCGGCCATGGGCGCCAGTGGTGCTGGACCCTCACCGGCGGAAGCAGCTGGTGGCGGGGGTGCCGGGTAGCAGGCAATCTTCTCCACCTCTATCATCTTGGTGCTGTCAGTCGGATCCGTTTCGTTCACCTTGGTGGGCACACATATAATGCCGCCGGGCGGTGGGGGAGCAGCTGCTTCCGGCGCGGTCATGTTGGAGGTCTCTGGATTAAAGGGCATTGCCGGCATTGGTGCCATGGGTACGGCTGGTTGTTGGGTTGCATCCTGGGTCATGTTGGTAGGGGGCACCGGTGCCGCTGGAACTGCTCCTGGGGCAGCAGCCACACCTGCTGCATTTATCACAGTGGTGCCATCGCTGGCATTCACCGGCACGCCATTGTTGATGATGATGATGCGATCCTGACCAGCAGCTGGAGCTGCGGCAACCGGCTGCGAGGAGGAGCTGCCTCCCGAGGGCGTAAGAGCGTGGCCCAGCAGGGCGCCGCCCAAGCCACCAGCAAGCAGACCAGTTCCTGTGAAGAAATTAATCATTGAAGCGCAAAAACAGATGTGCGACTAAAATAACAAGCGTGTTCACGATTTAGGTGACAACCTAAAGCAAATATGAGTCAGCAACAGAAGATTGCTTACCGAAGCCCAAGCCAGAGGAGGACTGTTGTGGCGGTGCAGAGTAATAGGTGGCTCCGGGCGGTAAAGCAGATCCCGCCTGGTAGTAGGTGGCGCCCGGCGGCGGAGCAGCAGCTGGGTGATAGCCACCGCCCATGGGCACATGGCCGGCGGATGGGTAGTAAGTAGCTCCGGCGGGGATGTTGGGCGAACCACCGTGTCCTGCAGCCGGGTAGTAGGTGGCGCCAGCTGGCACTCCCGAGTACTGCGGCTGGTGCATATTCGATCCGGTGGCGGCTCCATAGTTGGGAGGAGCTGCTCCGTAGTTGGGGGCATGATAGGATGGCGGCGGCTCGTGCATATTGGGTCGGGCTCCCCCAACGGGGTTGGAAGCGGAGTAGGCGGGCGGTGGACCCTGCGGCACATTCCAGCCTGGCTGAGGGGCGGAGCCCGGGGATCCCGATGAGCCAGCGGCCATTGGGCGATTCGGCTGCGCATTGTAGTTGGGGTAACTCAGTTTGGCCACATCTGCATGAGAGTTGCCGGCGGCATGCCCATTCGTGCTATAGCTGGGCGTCACGTGACCGTAGTTGGAGGAGCTGGACGAGGAGGAGGTCTTCCGCTGGTTGCCCTGGTTACGCCGGGCATCCACAACATTGTCGCCGCCGTGCGTCAGCAACAAGGCGAACACCGCCCAGGCCACAAAGACGAAATGGGAACAAGCGCCACCACTGGAGGCCATCATGTGATCCGGATTAGTGCTTCACCCTTGGACGGGAGGAGACGAGACTATACAAATGGCAAATACGGCAACCGCAAGCGCAGATCTGCGCTCACCGATGTGCATGCTAATTACCGAAACCCGTTTTGGATGCTTCTGGATGCTTTCAGCTGCTTGCGTAGTTCGTCCGCAAAACAAGTTTTTTTAATCGGTTAAAACTGTTATTTGATTTCACTTTTTGCTGTGTGACCAGGCTGGGGAAGGCGCAAGACCTATTGGTTCGGGTCTTCTCTACGCCTTTAGCCAATACACACACCATATGTGATATTTTTAGTCGAAAATTAATTGAATTCCATGGAGCAACATTTTTCCCAGTCAAATTGCTTATTTTTTGGGTTTCAGGTACCAGGCGAACAGAAGCCGCAGCAAGTGCCAGCTGGCCGCTCAAATTGAAATAAAACAGTTGATTGCTTTGCCCCGTACGTTTTTCCAGTCGCCTCTCAACCAATGGAAGTCAGCGATGGAGGGGAAACCGCTAGTTTAGTTCACCAGTTAACTAACAGCTGGTCTTGTTCCATGATGGCTGCCGCCTATACGCCCTTCCAGTCAGCATGCAACGGCTAATCTCGTCCTACTCTGCCCCCTACGCAAATTTCTGTTCGCCTGGTGTTGAGCCACTGAGAATTCACAATTCTCGCACAAAATTTCCGATGCGACATAATTTTTCCCAGTCAAATTGACAACTTTCCGGGTGCCAGACACCAGGCGAACAGAATCGGCAGCAGGCAGCAGCTGTAGCTCCAAATAAAGTGAAACAGCTGATCCTTTTTCATGATGGCTGCCCTTTCGATCTCTCCTTTATAGCATTCGACCAATAGGAGAACAGCACAACCGTTACTTCAGAACTGAGTGCAGATCAGTGATGAGCAACCGCGTTGATCTTGTGTTCGTGTCACGATCTGAGCACAATAGGCACGAAAGTCCCTTGTATTACATGGGTGCGTGCCGAAAATGAACGGCACGCGGGCATCTCCATTGAAACGCGTATTGGACTGATCAGCTGACTGTTTTGTTCGTGCTATTCTTTCTGTGCGCCTGGTGCCGTAAATCAAGAACTTTTGCAATTCGACTTTCTTACGAGAGATCGTGATCGTATATGAATTTTAAATTTATATGAATTTGAATATCGTTGAATATCAATGCAAAGTAAAAAATAACATTTAAGGTTTTTACATTTATTGGTGAATCACAATCGGAAGACTAGCTACCTCCTCGATGGCTTAGCTCGCAACTAAGCGGCCATACTAACTAAATAGTATATTATACAAAAAAAAATAACAAAAAGGACGGGCGCCTCTCAAGGATTTAAGGACTAGGAGTAGTTGTGCAGCAGGTAATCGTAGGAGTATTCGAAGACCAGCAGCAGAATAGCTCCTCCCGGGCCCAAACGCATAATCTTGGGTACGAGTCCTTTGTACAGCGCCCGGAATCCTTCCTCGCGGTAAACGATGCCCATGGAGCTGAAGGTTCCACGGTATTTGATCTGCCCGGCGACCGGCTGCGGTCCCTGAATGCGGGACTTGGCCACGTCAAAGGGGATGTTGACGAAGCAAGCCAGGGTGCCGGCCAGGAAGCCGATGGTCACCTTGCGCAGAAACTCCAAGTGGCTCTCCTTGTACTCGGGCACCACGTTCTTCACGCTGTGGTAGAACCCGAAGTACACCATGTTGAAGACTCCGTTGCGTCCCATGGTGGCGGTGATGCCCTTGTTGAGCCCGCTGAAGCCCAATCCGTCCTGCTTTATGATGCCCTTTGCCACGGCGAACGTGCTGAGCATCTTCTTCTGGCGATCAGCCTGCTGGGCCACCTTCACCACCTCGAAGGGATTCACGGCGATGGCCTCCAGTGTGCCGGCCGTCAGTCCGGCCAGGGAAAAGGTCAGCGGCGTGGGAGTGGGCGAGCCGAACTGAAAGAGCGGCTTGGTCTGCTCGAACACCAGGAACTTGATGGCCCGCTTGGGCGTCTCGGCCAGAATGGGCGGCATAATGCCCTTCCAGTAGGAGGAGATGCCTTCGTGGCGGTACATCTTGGCGAAGCAATCGAAGACGCCATTGTAGTGCAGCTGGAAAATGGGAATATATGCAGATGATAAGTTAACATTTAAAAATTTTAGAGAATTGCGCCAGAAACATTTTGAGGCATGCCACTTCAAAATCCGATTAAGATAAATTGAGTTATGAAGTTTAGAACTTCAGAATTGGGACATTCTTTAATATTTTTGAATTTCTACAACATCATACATCAGAAAAATTACAAAAAATTAAAAAAAAAATAAATTTCTAAATTTGAATGCAGATTTTTAGATAATTGCGCCAGAAACATTTTGAGGTATGCCACTTCAAAATCCGATTAAGATAAATTGAGTTATGAAGTTTAGAACTTCAGAATTGGGACATTCTTTAATATTTTTGAATTTCTACAACATCATACATCAGAAAAATTACAAAAAATTAAAAAAAAAAAAATTTCTAAATTTGAATGCAGATTTTTAGATAATTGCGCCAGAAACATTTTGAGGTATGCCACTTCAAAATCCGATTAAGATAAATTGAGTTATGAAGTTTAGAACTTCAGAATTGGGACATTCTTTAATATTTTTGAATTTGTACAACATCATACATCAGAAAAATTACAAAAAATTAAAAAAAAAATAAATTTCTAAATTTGAATGCAGATTTTTAGATAATTGCGCCAGAAACATTTTGAGGTATGCCACTTCAAAATCCGATTAAGATAGGTTGAGTTATGGAGGTAGGAACTTCAGCCTTGGGACATTTTTTAATTTTTTGAATTTCTCATCATCAGAATTATTACAGAACGTATTACTTTATATGGTCGGAAACGTTTCCTTCTGCCTGTTACATACTTTTCAACGAATCTAGTATAAAAAAAGGGATTGCAAACAGATTGACTATCGACTATCATAAAGTTATTTGCTACTAATATTGAAGGCTCTGATTAACACAACACGTAGTCGAAATCTACCAAGTTTGCACTGGACGAACTGCAACAAATCTGTTTGTGTTCGCAAAACTGGAACTGTGTTAACGGAGAGCTGCGTGCTTTGTTCCACATGTGTATATGCTGTATACATATATGCTGTATTTGTGCTAATTTCCCCCTTGTCGCCAGCTAGCCCCTGCCGCCTCTCCGCGTGCTTTCTTCGACTATTTGCTTTCATTCGCACTCGTAAATTTGTTTAATCATCATGCCTCGACGACCAGAAGATGCAGAAGAAGATGAAAATGTTTCGAGGCATTTAATGCTGGGGTCTTCACGACACAGAATGTCGTTTCTAGGAACGAGTATCGTCCCAGAACTGCGAACAAATAATTCTTTTCTGTTGACTTGCACTTTCCTAAACCATATTATAAAAATGACCACAAAAGTGTTTCTTTGTCTTATCTTAAGGTGCTTTAAGCCCAAAGATCTCCGACAGCAGCCGACACCCAAACACAAGATATATCTCATCTTGTGACCTAGGTGATCTAGTTTAGCAGCTAAAACAGCAGAAATGGAGCTGTAAAGCTGTAACTAGGCTCCTTGCTCTTCATGAAAACAAGTTAGTAGTTCTCGCACGTGCCAAATGTCGGAACACAATTTAAAGAGGTCATAATTTCGATTTCGCTGGCGATTGGGGAATGTTTGGCCTGCCTGTCATGTATTTATATATATACTCGTACGTACATGTGCAGACACATATTCTCCACTCGACTGATAAGCTTATTACGGGGAAGAGCGGCGATTAGCTTCGACTGCTGATAAATGTGGACGGTGGATGGTGGATGGTGGATTGTGGATAGCTCGCCCCTTTCCTCCGCAAGAGAAATGTAAACACTGAGGGCAGAAACACCAGGCAGCTCAAAATAGAGAAATTGGAGAGAACTTGTTTGTGACCTTGCTGTGCCCTCGTCCAAAATGAAGGCCCCAGCCCAATATGAAGATGAAAACAAAAACATGCCACAGCTGATGGATAAAGAAAAACGTAGATATCTGCTGTCTATAACTTGGAATCTTGTGGTGATAAGCGGCTATAACGGAATTTCTGGGACCCCTCTTCTGCATTTTGTGATTTTGTGATTTGCCATTTGATGCAGGGCCATAAGGTGCCAAACAATTCCATGGCGCTTATCGTGTCAGACGAATCACACGAACTGTGTGATTAGAACATACTACATGGAAGTACATAAGCAAATTGAGCCTAATTTGTTATTTCGGGCGTGTGAGCTTTGGGTGCCATAATGACTTGGCACTTAACATTATAGCATTCGCAACTGTGTGCCATGAACACTCACCTCTCCAAGAGCCGCGGCATTCGGCGCCGGAGTGGCCTGGATCTGGATGCGGGTCTTGACCACATCCAGTGGCTGCATGATGCAGACCTCCAGGAATCCGGCCGAGCCGCCGGCCAAAACCTGGAAGGCGGCGCGCTTCGCGTGCGAAATATCCTGCTGCGGAGAGGCCATCCTCGCGACGCTACTGCTACCGAGGGAATCCAAATGCCTAGGGAATCCAAGTGCTCCACTGGAAACTGCTGCCCAGGTCAATCGAGGCTGGCACTTCAGTCAGAGCCAACTGCGACTGCTACGCCCAGCAGAAGTACGAAGGCAGAAGTAAATGAATTGGGCAGAGCTACAACACTACGGGTGAACCGCCACCGCTCGCTTCGAGAACGCAATTCGCACTGAGCTCGAGGTTGAGGCAGCTGCCTGTGTTCCAGAGGAAAAGGCACACTGAAAAAAAGTAATTGAGTATTGAATAGCAGCCGATGTTGAAAATGGGAAAAGTTCTTTTAAAGTGCCCTGTGCCCTGTTAAGTGCTCGGCTCGTTAACTAGAAAAGCTGTTTGCAGTAGGGGCGGACGTAGGCTGTTCAGTAACTCTTCAGCAACTCCATATCACTCAGTTTTTTCTCTCTGTGCAGTGAGGGAGGGGCCGAACGGGCGACGCGGCTAAGCTTTCGCTGGCTTTGTCTTCAATAGGATTACGAGTCCCAGAGAGCCACGCGTGCTGGAAAGACTCCATAGCTGAGTTCGCTCAGTCGGATCGTGAGATCGTTAGGAGCTTTACCTCGTGGGCTGCTCGCCAGCGCAGACTGGCGATCTCAGCCAGCAGAAAGCTCAACACATCTGATACCTCATACAGTAAAGCTCTTTTCGGCCTATGTGCGATATAAGACTCATTCTGGTTTTGCAACCTTCCCTGTTAATGGCACATTCAATACATGTATGCCTTACTAGAATTAAAGACGTTTGGGGTCTACAAATCGGATGGCAAAAGTGGTAGACACATTATTTCAGGGTGGGGGAACATACGTACGTACCTATGTAGATTGAAGATTGCGAGCAGTAAATATGAGAATATTTCGTATTAGTTTAGTGCGCAGGAGTGCTTGTAAGTACAACATATACTATGTAAACACTTGTTTGCAGACTCAGAGCAGGGATTCTATGCTTGAAATAGAACGAATGACAGCTGACAGCTGGGGCAAAGCCGTGCTAGAGAGTCTATCGCAACCATAGGGTTGTTACCTGTGCATCACACTAATGATGTCCCTCGCCCATGTAAGCACGCTCCAAAGAGAAGGAGCTTCACAATGGACAAACAAATCGTTTGACATTCTGTGCCTCTTGATTGCTTTATTGTTCATAGCTCACGGCACACCGTACATCAATCAGAGATACAAGATACGACCTCCAGATTGAGGACAACTTTCATTTACATAAAATGCATTCTAAGCCGAAACTGATAGAACAAATTGTCGGTGTCAAAAATAATTCTCCCATCCCCAAATCTGAGTGATTTAGATGGTTTTCCTCTGCGTCTGCGTCTGTGTCTGCGTCTGTGGCTTTGTCTGTCTGCCTTTTTTATGATTGTCCAAATATTTCTGACTGTTAATTATGGGCACGAGTTGGCGTGATGTGGAGCCTGGGTGGATGGGCCGGGGATGTGTGGAATTTATAACGTCCGAGGGGAAAAATTTAAACGTTTTAGAGGCCATTAAAAGCGAATTAATCCCGGCCAGAAATCGTACTGGACTCTGCCCCATTTCTGGCCCAATAATGCTCTCGAGTCACGCAGGCAGGATCACCATGAATGGATCGATCGGAAAACTATTTTCGATATTTTCGATTCACTACGCACGGAAAATTTCTCGCCTTTCCACCCGGCTGGAGATCACACACAGTTCTTATGGGCCTACCCTTCCCCTACTGCCTCGAAAACAAAGCTTCCCTCCGACCGCAATTAGTACTAGTTTTACAGGCGCAACATGTAGAATGCCACATGCAAGCGCCGATTGATCGATCAAAGCCGCGATATACGCGGCTAATCAATCATTTTTCCATTTCCCATTTTCATTCTGAGGCCGCTGCTGCTCCAAAGTGAGAACTCACGACCGCCTGCAGCTGTCCGTTCGGCAGAGGCTATTAACCCCGTTTTTTACCCACAATGTTCCACTTGTTGCACACTTGTGGCCCTTGAGAAACAAGAACAAGTTGGCCCACAATAGGCAGCGGTCAAAACAAAAACCGGGCTCTGCACGGGAAAAAACTGATATGACGTTATCAGATTGCATTCCGATATGGAGGAACTTTCTGTTCCTAATAATACCGAAAGCATGAAGATATCCCAAATCAAATTTCACCTGATCCCCAGCATTTTTTATCCGTGTGCAGCCCTTCTTCTGCCAGCCCAGAATACCCGAAAAAGCACTTCCACTGCGATGGTCTTTCCGAGACCCCGAGGATGCAGGCTTGTTGTGGAGCACAACAATGGGTATCGCTTAAGAGTGTTTTGATTAATGCCAGTTTTGACAGCTGATAGGACATGAAGATGGAGACGGAGATGGAGATAGCTGACTCCATTGAAGCTGAAGCTGAAGCCCAGCTGGCAGCTGTCTAACCAGACCCTCAAAGGCTTGACAAGTGGTCAGACTATGGAGAGGCTTTCCCCGCTGCTCCTAGAGAAAAGTCGTTTCCGACTAGCCCACCAACACCTACAATGCTAAAATCCATTTGGCGCCATCATGCTTGAAAACTTTGTTCATATCTTGGCAATAAAGTGAACAAATAGTTCAAATCGAAGCAATCATTCCATTAGACATTATACTTTGGACTACTTTAGGTGACCCACCAAGCACAACACGCCCGACGACCTTAGTGGCCCACTCAGAACGAGTTGTGCGGTTTTCGCCCAAAACGAAAGTTAGTTACACCATCGCCGCAACCCGATTCCAGGTGCCCAACTTGAACACTATAAAGTGACAGATTTGGAGTGGCTAGCTGGCCATTTCACAGTCGTTTGTCGCACCAAATGGAGGTGGCGTGGATTATTGTTTCACTTTGGACTAGGGTCATCTTGGGAGAAAGTTATTTGGCCGGCGAGCATCGCCCACTTTGGATCCTGGAGGATGGACTAGCCAAGAGGCAGAGACAGAGCCGCCCAGAAGCAGATTATGAAACCACCACCAGGATACCTGCGCTCATGGGCAGAAGGCAGGGAAGAGGTGGTGGAGGCGGTGGAGGTGGTCAGGAGGCGAAATCCGGTTCCATTACCTTTCTTGTTAGGCATGCAGATCGGGATGCACCTTATCCGCCGCCCTCCTTGCCTCAACGACGGTTTATGATGCCTCATCGTCTCCAGCTGCCTCATCGGTACGTACAGCCTGTTCACAAGACCAGAAGTCACCGGCGAGGAGAACGTCGCCAGCTGCCCGTTTTCGATAATGGGCCCGGGGAGAATTCCCTGCAATTGGGCATGGGCAACTACCCCGTTTTCGTGTACAACGGAACCAGGGGAGAGCTGATTCTCAACACCATGCTGAGCAGGAGGCGTTATCCCATGCAGGAACCAGTGCCAGGCCAGGTTCTCTATCCACCATCGACCCCCATGTTCCGTCCAAAACCGATTGTGGAGCGATTCCGCTTCCCAGGACAGCGGCAGATTATGAACCTGACTCTGATTCCGTTTTATGCCCAAGAGGCCATCAGTGATCCAGCCCTAACTAGCACCTCCACCCAAGCACCCACCACCTCCACCTCCACCACGCCCATACCATCGCCTTACGAAACACAGCTGCCCAGAATCGAGGGAGTGCTAACTCTGGGCAGGCGGAAGAGAAAGAAGGCCAAGCAGTATGAGGCCTTCCATTCCCCTCAAGAAGTGATGCAATGGCAGACAGTCCTGCGACGATCCACTGGCCACAACGACAATCATCGACATCAGTCCAGTGAGGAAGTGGAGCCGGACGAGCAGAAGGAGTTGGTGGATCTAGGCGATGGTGTGGAGGAGGAGCTCGATGAACAAGACTGGCTAGCAGCACAGGAAGCCGAAACGGAGGTGGAACTACCTCCCGAGCCCACAGAAACGTCCACCGCCAGCAGCAGCGAGCCCTTCCAGATCGTCTACATCGATGAGAGTCTGGAGCGGCCAGCCGTCGAATCTCTGAGTCCCACTACGCCGCCACCGCCCTTGCGACAGAGCTCTCGATATGCCCTCAAAAAGAAGTACTATGCATTTCCAGTGTACACGCTGGGTAAGCTGCTCCAGCCACAAACACCAAATCCCTCCAAGAACCTGCTGGAGAAAAGCGATCGCTCGGCAAGAAGCTCCTTGGAAAGGGAGCCCAGCACCTGGTTTATACTGAATTCACGGTGAGTTGCGGCTCGCTGCTTGGTTTTAATCTCCCATTATGCCATATATGTTATCCCTCTTCGATTTCAGTTACAAGGGGCCCCACCACCGACCACATGGAACGGACGATCAGACCAAATACTACACATCCAAGTACATAGAGAACGGCTTGAGACCGCGGAGATAGTGCGGATAATTAGTCATCACTTAATGGTTCTTATTCCCTAAAAATGTGGAAGAAATGGGAAATAGTTTTCGGAGTGAAGGAGAAGTCACCCAGGAGATTATCACTGTGCTCCGAAATGATCATTAACGCCTCTCTTCATAAATAAAGCCTTCAGAAAAAGCCATGAGACAATTTAGATTGTAATAGGTTGCCTAGTGGAACCGTTTTACGACCGATAAAGGGCAGTCATTCATGTTGGGGGTCAAAAGGGATCCCGGGCTCTGAAAAGGCGGTCGTAAATTGGAAAGTGAAGAATTGGAATCGAAGTAGGAATAGGAATGGGCTTTATTGACCTATAGTTGCATAACTATAACAACCCAACCCAACGTGCAAATCAGACGGGTCAGCTAAAGCCGTCGCCTGACCCAAATTCCAGAATCCAATACACGGAAAATCAGAAAGAAAAACAAAATTTGAATGTGTTAAAAAGCAAGGCAGGGCAAAGAAGAAAAGTCATCAACAAATTTTTATAGCCAATGGAATGGATGCGGCTCTTTGAAAAACGCAGCCCTCCTTTTCACGTCGGTGGATCCATCATTCATTCAATCACTTTATCAATGATGCACCTCTTCAGGTTGTTCGCCCGTCATTATTATTATAGATTTCCCAGCTTAGTTTTCGCTTTGCAGACTGCAATTAATTTTCTCGTTGTTCTACAAGGGGTCCACAATCCGAACTCCGAGCTCCGAGCTCCGAGCTCCCCATTCCCCTTTTCCTCGACTGGAGGGAAAACCTGCTCGATGTCGGCGTTTCTGTTCTGACCAGCATTGCCATGGGCCACACAATCGATCCCAACCGATTTCCCAATCTCGGTTTTCGGCTATAAAAGCTCGGACCGTCGCTCTTTTTGGGCTTAGAACAAAGGCGACTGCGAACGCGAGTGGATTATATAAGTTTGCTTGAATCTTCACAGACTTGTTCATTGCTTCCCAAGGATAAAGGGAAATTCCCTCAGAAAATCGTATTATGTACATAGATATGCGGCTAAGTTTTGTGGTATGTGAAAAAGGATTTGAATGCAACAAGTTTAAATGTTCAATCCTAAAAATGTTTTTTGCGTTTTTTTTTTGATACAAGTGACTGTTATTGGTGCTAAATGCAACTTAAACCTTATGATATATCGTAATTTTACAAGGAATTGAAACACTCACCCTTTCTCCCTTCCACGTTAGATTACTCTTGTCCTCATAGGTTCCCGCCTGTCCAACGGCTTCTGGTGGCCAAAGACAACAACGTAAGTAGAAAAGCCGTGGAACTGCCAAATTAGTCTCACCTGTATCCATAGGGAAACCAGGGAGCCGGGTGGCGGCCAAATCCTGCAGCAAATTCCGCTCACCTACTTCCGGACATACACCTATCAGCCATTGGCTCCTGGGTTCTTCGGATTTGGAGCTGCTCAGACACCTCTGCTGCCTGGTGCTCAGTACGATCCGTATGGGATGACCAGTTACGCTGCTGCCAGGCGACATGACTCCGCTTCCAGGCAAGAGGTGACTGCTCCGGCGGAACTGAACAACGCGCCCAGTAGCTCTCGGACCACCAGCACCACTGCCGCTCCAACGACCACAACCACCACCACCACAACCACCACGCCGGCACCGACCACAAGAACTAGTACTACTACTACCAGTACTACTCCACCACCAGTACCACCTCCGCCCCAGTCCGCCACTAGTGGTAGTGGTAGTAGTGGTTTCTCCGAAGGATCCACTCCCAGCCTGCTGCGCTTCGGCGAATACCCCGCGTACAATCGCCGGGTAAGCAACCTCTATAACGCCAGGCCCCAGTATCCATATCCGGATTACTTCAACTATCAGCCGCAGCAGCAGACCGTGGTGCCGGAGCAAGGGGTCTCCAGCAACAGTCGCATCCAATTCGTTCCCTGCATGTGCCCCGTCAGCGTGCCCAGCTTTGTCTCATCAGCATCCTCGACAGCGGCCACATTGCCTCCGCAGCTGTCCACTGCCTCCACATCGTTCGTGTCCCAGCCGGCGGCTCGTCACATCGAGGGACAGGAATTGGAAGCGGAAGTTGATGGCGAGACAGACAACGAGGGAGAGGAGGAGGACGAGGATGAGGAGCAGGGGCAGGAGCAGGGCCAGGGCCAGAGCCAGAGCCACGGCCTGGAAGATGGTGCCGGCAAGGACCAGCCAGAAACGCAGGATATAACCTCAGACAGTGCCGTCTAGTTCAATTGGATGGTGCAGCCACAGCCTTCCTGGTTTGAAGCCAATCCTCGACTGACTTGTCACTATGGGGGTGCCCAGGAGATCTCTTTGCAGCCCCAGGGTTCCAGAATGCTTAAATTGTTGGAAAAACATTAAAACAAATGAAACAACGATTACAAATAATACTTAGTAAGAAATGCAAATGCAGAGGGATTTCAGGAGAGATTTCTGGGATAAGCGCCTGCAGAGAGAAATTTTTTTTCATTATTTAATAATATAATAATAAAGAAATTATTTAATAAACGTAGCATTAAATACCGAGAGCCTGTGTGTTGCGGAAATAATGCCAATAATGGGTTTTTATTGATTTCATGTTCTTTTATTTATTCATATTCAGATGCTCGAGCAATTACATTTACACATTTAAATTGTATTTATCCATATTTTAATACTTTGCGCTTGCTGCACGAATTTCAACTAGCCCCGAGCGAAGATCCCTAAGCTCCACCTTTTTCATCTCCAAAGCTCCTCCACATCGAACGTGCCTCTCAATTAGTGGAGAACTATCCTTTAATCATCAATTCAACAATTACAAATACATTTACTTAACTAGATGAACTTGTGCTTCGAGTCTTTGAAGTTGAAATTAGCTTGCGATTTGGGGAAAACTCAGAAAGCTTTCCACTCCGTTTTCATTTTCGTCTTCGTTTACGTTTTCGTTTCAACGGGCGCCAAAGTGGTCTTAGCGTAGTTAATGCGTAGGTATTACAAAAGAGGAGTTGGGAGTTAAGTATACAACTAATCGGGGGAAATACATAATCAGTCGTTTAAGTTTTAGATATACATGTATACATCGATATATAAATATAGTCGTAAATATAAACCGCATTCAAATACAAACACGAGTACGATTACATCTAAGCGTCGGGAGTTAAACAATCGAAAAGTTACGAGCTAGAGTATCTGGGCGCAGTCTCCCCGTAGAGACTCGCCCCAACTAACAAAAAAAATGCATCTTACCTCTAAAAGATCGTACTTAGTGCTAAATCTGCTGCGCATGCGCTCTCCACGAATCGTTTCTTCGATTGTTTGTGTGCTATGCAGCTTCTGAATGCTGGCATATTTGCTCGTTTGTTTTTTGTTTGTTTGTTTGCTTTGTGTTACTGTTGCTTGCGTTTGTGGACTTATGTGGTAGGGAAATTGCAATAATATGGCCTATCGATATATCCTAAGCCATCGTCTTCAGATGTCCTTCTCATTCTCATAGCTATAGCCCTTCTCAGATGCCCTTCCAAAAAAATACAACTATCCCTTCTTGTAAGATATCGATTTTACTGTTTGTTTACTGCGTGTGATTTCTCTGCGTGTGTCATGAACTCGTTTTCGTCATTTCCTAAGCCACCGATTGCATCGGTGTTTTGTCCTTGTCCTCGTACTTGTCGATTTTCTAGCTTTATTAGCACAAAAAAAAAAAAATAAACATAAAACATAACCTTTGTCATTTTATATATAATGAGATTGCGCAGACGAAGCGCGTACGTCACTCACACTCACAGTCACTTAAAAGACCAGACTACCTGCCACGCACTGAACACACTTGGAAATCATTGGAAAACCTATTGGGGCACACGGAAATCGTTTTATCACAGAATTCGGATTCGATTTGTCGCGCCCTATTCCATAAATGCCACCTTTGGAGGCGTGGCAGACAGCATCGCACTCACACTGTATACCAAAAAATAAATACTATAAAATAGGAGCAGAGTCACGCTGCGAAACTGACGCTGAAAATTATGTGCTCTTTACATTAGGCTATGCATATTGAAGATATTACTTAAGCTAATGCCGCGCCACTCGGCCTGCTGCTCGAATTTATACAAGTTCTAAAAGGATAGTGAGTAATTGGCATACAAACATGTTGGTTAAACAGTAAGAAAACAACGCAAGAAAGACGCAAGTACACAACCCAACGTAAAAAGCACATATCTAAGAACTCGAACTAAATGCATACAAGATAGTCTTACTGAATGTCTGGTATTAAGTAATATGTATATCCCTGTAGCAGCGCATCGTCGGGGAGCTGGAGGGGCTGAGGGCGGGAGGACCTGGATCAGTCTGATATGTGGGTGCGGTGCGGGTGTCGTCCTCCGAAAGGTTCGAGCTGCCCCAGCCACCAATCCCCCAGCTCCGTGTTCCTTCTCCGGACCCTTCTTTGTTGTTGTTAGACGAAGCCTAGACGAAGGTCTCGCGGATGACGGTGCCGTTGCTACTGGTGCTTAGATCTTAGAACTCAGTTGATTGTCAGACGAACGACGAGAAGCCGGGCAGTGGTGCCCTCGACCTGGCCATATTATTGACGATAATCTGGCCACCATTGAGGCTCATCACTGCACTGCCCTCCGGCTCCGAATCGGTGTAGCTGGAGTAGTTTCGCACCGGCTTGGTCTTCTTCCACGACTGTCGCAGTGAGTCATTCACGTTGGCATAGTGATTCACAAAGGAGTGGGGGTCGCTGCGCACGCTTTCGTTTTCGCTCTCCGAATGCTGCAAAATAGAATCAAACTTTTCAAATTGCCATTCAACGATACCCCTTGTTTAAGAAACTCGTTTCTTACAAAATCCATTACCCCATTTTACTCGGCCTCTGTGTTACTCGGCCTGCCAACTCACCTGCGATGCCTCTGAACTGCTCACCTCCGAGGGCTTCTCGGTCACGCTGCTGTCGTCCGGATTTTCATCGTAGCACTTCAAGCTCTCCTCGTCGCTGTGATAGGCCACAGAGGCGGGCGATGGGCGTGGCGGACTCTTGCCGAGATGGACACCCGGCGGCGGTCGATTCGTGGACTTCCTGCCCAGAGTGCCCAAGGTGCCGCTGCGCAGAGTGCCCACACTGTTCAGGGTACCAGTTCCAACTCCGTGGCGGGAGCGATACAGCTCGAGAGCCAACTCTTGTCGCTCGTCAATGGACATGGCCATGGATTCCTCCAGAGTCTTCTGTGCCTCCTCTGCAAGTAGAAACGTTCTAGCTAACTATGCCGGGTACTATTTGAATGCAGATCTGAAATATTACGTTTATATTTGTAGCTCTTGCTCTTGACACACAGCACCGCAATAACCATCACGATGATCACAATCGAAGTCGCCGCCAATGAAACCATAAACCAGGTTTGCCGATAAAAGGGCTTGTGCTGCAGGTAACCATATTCGAGGTGCAGTTTGGAGGGCGTCAGGATCGAGTCCTTGGAGTACACGGGAAACGAAATGCCGTATCGATTGTAGGCAATCACCCGGAATGTGTACGCAGTGGAGGGCATCAGTATGTGATAGCTGACGGTAAAATCCTGCATCATACCCTTTCTGGTCTGCTCGATTTTTGTCCAGCGCGAGTCGTCTATGGTTTGCAGAAGATCAAAGTTAGTTTAGGACATCGAAATGTAATATTTTTCCAAGCATACGTTTTTATTTATTTCAAAAGATGCAAGCAAATAGTAAGTCTTAGAGGAAATGGGAATGTTTTCCTCAAATGAGGGTAAATAAATGAGACTACTTTGAAAATAATAAGAGTTATGGAGCTGAGATATTACTACAATAGCTTACATTCTAATTTCTAAGGACAGATATACTTACAAACGAATGACGGCTCTCCTTTTTCTACGTAAGCATTTCAAAAGAGATTTGGTTGTTATAGTTTTTGGAAAGAATTTGTCATTTAGAACCAAGACACCAAAGGGGAATCGAATGCAAAATAGGAAAGATATGCGGAGAGATCATTTAGTAAGTGCAAGTCCAAGACCAGTTCTACAGTACCGAGCATATAAACCCCAACTTACCTCGCTTCTTCGCCTCGATCAGATAGCCCAGGATGGGTCCCCGCCCCGAAGGCCCGTTTATCCAATGCATTTCCACGCTGGATAGCGTCTTGGTCAGGATGAGATCACGCGGCGCAACTGGGGATCCATCTTGGGGCCCTGTCGTCACATTCTCGCTTATACCCGGTCCGTAGTCCACCGACGTTTGAGCGCGGACAGTGAACGTATAGGTGACCTCTTCCTCCAGATTTTGAACACGAAGTGTGGTATTAGATACCTTTTGCTTCACTTGCTTGCTGAACTCTGTGGCATGACAAAGAAAGAGAGTTAGGCTCAGGATGACAGTCAGATGTGAGTATTGCAACCTACTTTCATTCTCCTCGGTGGTTTCATAGGTGACCAAGTAGCCCAAGATCTCACCGTTGAGGAACTTCGGTGGATCCCAGGTAACCTCCAAGCTCTGCATTGTGATATCTGAAAATCGAAGGTGAAGCGGTGCACTCGGTACGCCTGGCAGTGTTTTCACTGTAATGGGGGCGGATCGCGGTCCATCTCCCGCCGGATTGAAGGCCAGCAGTTGGATGCGGTACTCGGTGAACTTGTCCAGAAACACCAGGCTGTGCGAGGTTGCCGTGGCCGAAACTACCTCGATTTCCTCCTCCCACTTGCGGCCCGGTTCCAAGGCTTGTGGTGAATAGGTGACCAGGTAGTAGATCTTGTAGCCCAGTATATCTCCGTTCTGCATGCTCTGCTTTGGCGGCTTCCAAAGTAAACGCACCTCCGTGCTGGAAATGGGCGCTGCATCTACGGCTCTCGGCTCCCCAGTCGGCACCGCTTCGCCCACATACACAGCTGCTGGGGGTGTGGCAGGGCCAGGGCCTTGGGAGTTGAATGGCAGCACCACAATTTCATAGTTGCGATCCTGTTGAAGATCGGACAGAACCACGCTGTTGTCGTTGATGCCGTGCACATCCGTTTTGGGTGTAGACTGCAGGGCGGTGGGGAAATCGGAGAGTTGCTGATATAAAATCCTGTAGCCACCAGTTGCGGCATCGCCATTCCACAGCGCCGTCTCCAGAGCACTCCACTGCACCCTCACCGAAGTTGTGGTTATGGGCACCACCTTGAGACCTCCAACTCCCACTGCCGGAGCAGCGGGTAAAGTTCTCACGATCACACTCTCGCGGCTAAAGGCGGACGGTCCCAGATCATTGGTGGCCTGTATGCGGAACTGGTACGTCATATAGGGCCTCAGACCAAGTGCTGTAAAGGAGCTGAGAGATGGATCCACCCTTTCGGGAAGTGGCTGCCACCTGCCCTCGTTTTCACGCATTTCCACTGTGTAGTAACGCAGTGGCGCG